AGTTTAATCGAAAAATTCCATTGGAGTGATGTATTTTAAATAGAATTGATTACTATTGTTATAAAATTTATACAAAGATAATTAATTCTCATGAACAAGTAAAATTTACAATTCAATTCTAAGTCCTTGTGTATTAGAGCGTGCTTTAAAAAATGTTATGGTCACATCCATTTCCATTTATTAACACGAAGCCTATTATTATTATTTTTTTCTTTTATTTTAACTCTTTTGTGACATTGGTCACGTGTTTTAATTAAAGCAACTTGCAATACCAACACTTATTTTTGATAAAAAAAGCAATATGTCTTGTATTAGTTATTTTTTATTAGAGTCGTATTATCTCCAAAACATCCTGTACTTTATCTTCATGTTGAATGATAGTAACAGATTATGTCCTAACTTCGATGCAACATCTTCAATTTTGTATCTACACCTACCAGATCCAAATTGACGTTGAATAAACGGTCTAGTGATATTGATAAATTTATTACAACAACTTCATATCTACATCTATTGAAACCCTTAGATGAAAAACATACGTAATTCCAATGTCACTTTTTTCCATTTTGTCTTATTAGAGTTGTTTTGATCAGTACGGCTTGCGGAATTGAACTGTGCGTCGTGACAGGTTCATTGATGTAGGTAAAACATAAATTAATAATATCAAAGCAAAATAGTTTTATTAATGTTTCTGTTATTACACATGCTCTTCTGACGCACATGTGAGGTGAACAATTCCGCAAAGTCGCATGCATTCTTACCACAGAAACGTCAACATGCACATGTTGACATGTCTGGTCTAAGAATCTCGTCTCAGGTCCATAGATCTCGGGAATCGGAAGAGGTAGATGAAGCTATCCACTTACAGCAAGGAAATAAATTTTATTACAGAGTAGGATCTTTTAAAGAGAAGTTGGCTGAAGCAGAATTGGCCAGAATCGATGTTTTCGGTACGTTTAAGTACCACATCAAAAGTTCATTGCCCGTGCTTTGGCAATAATAATTAAAAATATCATCATTACTACGTCAATAGCAGTTTGAATTGATAAATCAATTCATTTTAGGTTTATCACCGTATTTGTCGTCTTTTTTTTAAAAATATTATATAAATTACAATTATGTTCAAACAACTTATGTAATACAATTTACTCTAAATATTTACGACATGCTTGGGTAGAGTTATCATGTTTGTACTATACAAGTCACACCCGCCATTTTTGGTTCTTTTTCTTCACTTTAAAACTGAAGCGGCAGAGAACTGAAAAGCAAAAATAACTGCCTGCTGAATAAAATCGCCGGCAAGAACGAATCATCAAAGAATGATTTAAGGCATAATTCAGACGAAGTAACAACATGTCACCCGAAACTACTTTAGTCGGAAACGTTATTTATAAAACGTTTTCATGTTTCTCATTCGAATTTGATGTTTGTTTTCTTTTCATTACAGACTATAGTCAAGTAGTTTAGTACAGCAATAGATTTCTGCTCGCACTCGGCTTGATGTTGTTTTTTGTGTTCGCGAAGATTCGTAAAATTTTCATGGTCGCCATCGTTTGATTTCGCTAAGTCTCAAGCACTAAAAGCTATATAAAAATAAATTCGTTGTGTATCAACCCTGAGCGAATACGAATTTTCCCGATTGTCGATTTCAAAATGTACTTAAAATCTCGGCTTTGAAAAGAACTTATTTAAGAAGATTATAAAGACGAAATACACAAACAATCATCGATATCGTGAGGGAAAATAAAAAAATATATTCTTTATTTTCCCACTTTTATATATTAAAATACTAAGGAGACTCCTTTTGCTACTCTTCTATAATAAATGTATACCACTTTGTCGTAACATGTTTAGCAATCGTGGAATACTTGCGCACAGAATTTATACGACGTTTGCCAAACAGAACTGGCAACCTACAGTATCGCAATTGCCATCAGCCGAAAAAAAGAAGAAATTATCATCTTGAGGGGGTAGAGTGAAATGGCACCTGTTTTATTTCAACAGTCATCAAAGCCAACACGTCTGGCTGGAGTTTAGGGTAATGATCTTTCAGGAGTCCTTGGCAAAGTTATTTCCTCGTCGTCAGCTTTTCTACAAATGTTCAGGATTTTTAATAATTACTTTTCTAGTAGCATTATAATTAATTTTTCAATCAGGTAAATCATAATTTTTCAATAAACTTTTTCAAATGTTAGACATTATTCCAATGTGATGATATGATATCACGCATGAAACTGAAGAATTGTTGTCATTAAACTTTCGCAATCACGTGCTGAACTATTAACCTGTTTTGGATTGGTGGTACCTTACGAAACAATATATAATTTTTTATGTAAAACTTGACGATTCATAAGAACGCGCAAGCGTCTATTTGAATAAAGATATTTTTGATTTGATTTGATTTCTGCGTACTTTAGATCGTGCGTTTAAGTTATTATAAATACATTTGTAAGGACGAAAATAAGAAATAAATGTGATTGCGTAGTAGATAAACAAAAGCGCGTTTAAGTAGTCAGTATACTTATTATAATAATAAAAAACGAGTCGGACACAGGGTTCCGTACCATTACATATATAAACTTATAAGTTGCCTAGCAACCTCGCGTTTGTTGTATGGGAGCCCCCTTAAATATTTTGTATTATAATATGTTTTAGTATTTGTTTTAATAGCGGCAACAGAAATACATAATCCTTGAAAATTTCAACCTGCTAACTATTTCGGTTCGTGGTGACAGATGGGCAGACGATTAAATTTGCAGAGCAGAGATTAATAAAATTTGATCGAGTGACAGACAGCAGTTCTATAAATCAAAATCAAAATCATTTATTCATCGACATAAGAAACTTACATTTCATTTATCAATAGTCATATTTTTTTTTAAATCTACCACGGTTTCGTAATGAGGTTCCTCTAGCGGAGAAGAAACAGGCGAAAGAAACTCCGTAGGTATCCTCTTTTTTGTAATTCATTTTATTTTCTTAACAAAAAATTCAAATATTATACAACTGATTTTTTTCCTTTTAGAAATAGCTTGGGAGCGATCAACTCATTCCCAGGGGTTATTGTCATTAATGTATTCATTTGTATTATAATAACCCTTTTTATAAAGTTTTTCTTTAATAAATTTCTTAAACCTGTTAATAGGCAGGTTTTGCGCATTTACTGGGATTTTGTTGTAAAAGCGTATACACCGCCCTATGAACGAGTTACTTACTCTATGGAGTAATCATCATTATTATAATATAATCATCATTATTCTCCTACTCTTATCATGATGTAAATAGTTTCGGCTAGATATTTCAGAACCGGCTTCCTGCTTGACGACAACCATCCTTAAGAACAAACACCCAGATCCGGAACAATCACCGGAACTTTTTGTTGACATTCAATAAGAGCTTAAGTTAAGCCCATATTGAATAAAGATACTTTGACTTTGACTTTGTGAGTCACAGAAATGCTTGTTTCGTGTGGTAATTCAATCCTGGCGCCGAATCCAATAGCTTAGCAACTGCGCCAGCAAGTTATATTCACAATAACTTTAGCGGTGATAGAGCCACGCAACAGCCTCGGCTGTTGCAGCCGAGGCTGTTGCACGAATGAGCAGGCCCGTCCGGGTAAGTACCACGACCTACCATATTACCCACCAAGGGTAGTGGCCACCCTAAGTAAGTTTGGGCGGGTAAGATCTCCACATAAACCTATCTTCTCCCAGAAGGCGGGGGAAGATTTCTGCTCCAATACCAAGAAAGGGAAAATAAGTATAAGGGTAATAAGTTATTTTAATAAGTGATAACATATGTTTATTCTGACAATAAGACTCACGGCGGATGAAGTCGGGCGCAATAGCTAGTTTTATTATACAGGGTTGGATTTGGATTATTTGGGGAAACATTGCACCCGCAGACAATGGCCTGAGTTCAAATACCGCCCGATGGGGACTAATGATTTAGTGAGGCATGTCCTATAAATTTCGTGCTTTCAATCAAGTTTGGGACGGCTTAAACATGTTTCATTACATACGTCATGTATGAAAAAATATGTGCACACGTTCATAAATATAAATACAGATGAAATCGTTTTAAAAGCGAGCCACGAGTGTTTTCTGTTATTTTAATCTTTTAAAACAGTAATTTTTGCACTTTGCATTTAAATACGAAAATAAATATAAATTGGCAACTGTCACATTACCATAAAAGATACTCAAAACCCAAAATGGAGAAAAACGTTATAGCGTTCAACTATTTTCTAATCTCTGAAAAAAAAAAGGACCAACATTCAGATGAAAGCATTGCCTTTAGAAAATAAGACAATACTTTCGCAAATAAAATTACAGACGGCGAATGACGTAGCCCATGTCTCCCCCTAAGATTGTACGTCGATCCGAAATTTCTGTTAATTTTGATTTTATAGAGGTCTACCTCTGATTAAAACGTCTGTACTCTCCATATAACTTTAAATAAAACTCCATAACGTTTTTTATTTCAAACTATTTTCAAGTATTTTCGGGAATGTAAAAATGTTTAACTTAACTACTTTTAGTGATAGCGCGTAGCGTTTACTCTAATGTATAATACATTTGTATTCAAATATAATTTTATCTTTAAAGCGAATATTATTACAACATACTACTAAAACTAAATGGTACCATTGAACATAGAAATAGTTCAAATTAAACAGTATCAACGGGTTTCGTTTTGACTAGAATATGAAATGGAGAAATGGAAAATTGCATAACGTTACAGTTACAACGTGTATAATATGGGTATTTATATGCTTTATATGATAGTGTTTCGAGATAAAATCAGTCAAAGATGGTTGTTATACTTGATATCTTGTGTAGACAATGAAACTATCAGGTGGGTAATTCAATTAGGACTGTACATTTTTTCTTCTGTTTTAGGGCGTGATATGATTTTAGCTTTTTTTCGTATGACGATAATTAGAAATTTAAATCGTTCGGTATACGTACTATCGCGCAGCGGTTGTTGAGAATAGATCACCTGACGTCATCTGGTCGCGTCGCGGCGCCACTGTCTACGTTGGCACGGGACGCCCCTGTAGTGTTTGTTTGTGAACGTCTCCGCATCTGTTTCGCCAAACATCCGACCGTTTCAGTGCTGGTCCTATTCTCTCCACAGCCAGTGCTAGTGGCGAATACGTCGTGCGGTCGGACAAAGCGTTTTGCGTCGCCATTTCCATATAGCTCCATTTTGAGCTTTCTCCCGTCAGGATGCCGTCGGGGAACACGACGCGGAAGCTAGTGGTGCATCTTTTCGATGTGAAGGAGGCATTCAGTGAATGTTTGATCAATGTACTACTGAAGGATCGAGAGGAGACAGTTCTGTAATTCATTAAGTCGCGAAACGCTTTTCGGTGTTCAAGATACTGACTGTGATAGACAGCCCCAGCTGTTTTAGTGACCGTGATTTAAGACTGATTTTGAAAAAGTATCCTACCTTTCTGGAATTGTGCGCGTTGACCAATAGTGGGCATAATTGCGAGGCCAGTGAGGTATATGCTTAGTACAATGTCTGGACTTAAGCGATGTATAAGCCAGGTGTCTATGTTCATGACAGGGAAACCGATAAACTCCTCGGAGTCGGCGTGGAGAGAGGAACTGCAGAAGTGAGTTTTTATTTTTAAGTGCACGGAACTAATGCGAGCGTTAAAAAAGATGCCGAAGAAAATTTCGAGGCCTCTGTCACTTGCGCCGAATTTAATAATAGTGCAACTCGTGAGTCATCCAATCTTTTGTAGTATAATGTCGCTTTAAAATGATAAAAAAATATGTCGCCGAATTAATATAATATCATTTATATTTCGTCTCTGTCATTTAGAGCCCGTGCATAAGTATATATACACAAATGACGTCTTCCACCACATTTACGTAGCCTTTATTCTGCAAGCGTGTCACCAATTCATGACGCCGTATTTGTGACGCTTCGTCATAAAGTGACACGATTTAATGTTCAAAATCGTGTACGTCTACCCAAACGTTGTACTACTTATTTCACCTGTCCTCCGATTTATTTTGGTTACCTCCGGGTTTTTTGTGGTTAGGGAAACATTACAAATAGTTATCTCCGGGTTTTCGTAAGTAAGTCTTCGTAGTAGTAAGCCTTCGTGTGTTTAATTTACTGAAGTTTTGAAAAGAAAAAAATCTTTCAAATTCGGAAGTTGTGGAATAAAAGCAATTTTTAAATTTGGTAATGTTATCGCGTAACATAAATTGGGATTTTTTAACGACTTATTTAACTTTTGTTAAATAAAAAATATTTCCCGGGTGCCTTCGAGAGTTTAAGTATTGAAGAGCCAGATTTCAAATCAAATACTTTCTTAGTTATCGGTGGGCTGAAAATTCATATTTTATAATATTATTACTTATTCTACTAAACAACAAGTGACAATATTACTCTATTTCTACTATTTTCTTATTATATATTCATTCAAATGCCATAATAAAAAGCAATGCCGTAGCATTGCTTTCTTCGCTCCGCATTTTTTCATAACAAGTAAGCAGCAAGCGTTGGCTTTTCAATAACAATTGAATGACACGTCCAATCGAATCACTCGGTTCCTTTTCATTAAACAACAACACTTAGCATTTCATTGCTTTCAATTATCATCGAATGAATTTTTATTTTTGCTTCAAAACAGATAATTAGAAATTCCAATATGTTGATTAGCTGATCATTAGCTGATCTGGCATTGAAAAATGAAAAATATGTTTCCTAATGCTTCGAATACGTAGCGATAAATACTTTTCGAAATGTGATACGTTTGATACGCCAATAAGTTTATTCACTTCAACAATCCTCTATGCTTCAGTTTTTTATTAAAATTAGTCGTTTGTTCCTGTTATATCGAGAACATGGGTACATTATGAAATACTTTTGCAATATTGTGAATTGTATATATTTAGGCAACAAAACCGTCAAACAATAAAATATACTAACGCATATAATAAATTCAAAACCATCAACCGTAAAACGCTTCGAGTGATGCAGATTCAACAAATTGCACACCAAGTGTTCAATGACGTCATTAAAAGCTTTAGTAAAGGCTTTTAGTTGTGAATCGTTATGACAAGCGCAGGAAAATAGGCACTTAGCGGGACAAGTAAGAAAAACTATTATTCCAATCCAATAACTTGGTTTTTAGAGTAGTTAAAAGAAAACAAGACACCTGAATAACTTATTTATTGAATACTTATGAAAATCGATGTAACCTAATCCAAAAAAAAAAGTAATCCAAAAAACACCGAACGTTTTTTTCAAAGGGATTTCATTCCCAAATATTATTTACATTATTACTTTGGCAGCCACGCGGTAGCTTCTGCTGTTGCACTAATAGGCTGTCTCAGATTGTTTCAGGGTATTTTTTTTAACCTTTTTGGACCTTCAATAACATCACTGGACTAGCGAAACGAAAGAGTACCGCATTAGACTCTGATAAGCCTAAATAAGTGTCGGTATTTTATAAAGTGGATGATAAAATTGAATATCCTTCTAACATGAGTGCCAACGAGTACAAATTGGTAGCGATGCTCGAGAGGATTAGCGTTTCCATTTACTTAATGGAGTGCCTCGCTTTACTGAACAACAGTGCGATATCTAAACACTGTTTAGATAACAGCTCTATCCCCCCCCCCCCCCCCCCCCCCCTTATCCGAAGACCGGTAAAAGCATCACAAAAGCATATAAAATCTAATGGAATTTTATTGCAAATCTCTAATTCGGGCTAATGTAACCTTATCGCTGTGATAAAAGTATTTTTTTTTATCAATCTTACAGGTGTGCTATTTTTTGTTCGCATGCGTGTGTTTATCAAAGTACCTATATTAGAAAACAATTTATTGAATCTTTCATTCATCGATGAAAATTAAAGTAAATACAATTTAAGCTGGAATTATGTATGCGATATAAAACGAATTCCAATCTTATGGTCTGCTATAGCCTAATCTTCACCTATTTGTTAAAACTCTCCACAAATAATAATTATTTATAAAGATTAATAAAATTAAACTCTCTAACAGTATTTCTTATCCGTCTATCTCAAGCCATCCTTTGCCGCTTCTGAAACTAATAATATCTAATCTCGGGAAGTATTTGAATTTGCAATGCATATTAGACTAGCTTGCGTTGTTTACTTTCAACGACGCCTTTAATGAAAGTAAGATATGAAAAAGAAAATAAAATAAGAACTATACTTTTTCAATACCTGCCAATAAGGAGATAAATGCTATCAGAAAACTCTAGAGCCTTACCATCAGCATCGACGTCATTAAAATTTTATTAATTAGAGCAGCAATTTAAATAATGCGATAAGTACTTAATCATTTAATAAACTGGCATCTTATGTGCTCTCGAGAACGTTCTACGGTGTGAGCAAGTACAGCTTTGATAGTACTTCCGTATTCTAAAGTTTTAGCACATCTTTAATTACAGACAAAGAGCCAAACACAAACGTCTCCGTTACATGAAAGGGGCAAAACCTTCTTAAAGGCAGTATAGGAGGTACACCTACAACATTGCTATCATGGTCCTATTATTATATTTAGGACGTTTTTTAGGAGACATTTTTCACAACGTTCTCTAGTCCCAAACTGAGCAACGCTTGTACTACGGCAACTAGATAATTGATAAACATACATATATTCCAGTAGTGGGGATCGAACCCAGTCCCCTGACGCAGGAGGAAGGTACTCTACCCACTATGTCATTCGGGTCGTCGTCATATTATACCTAGCTATGGGCGGCGATCACGTTTAGATGAAACGCCAACTTGTACGTCACCTGACATATTTAGCGCAGCTAAATTAACAAGAACTAAAAAATTAAAAGAATTATTGGGATAGCTCGGTGGCGCAGTTGTTAAGCTATTGGTTTGACATAGTCATGGTTTCGATTCCCACACGGGAAAATTATTTTTGTGATTCATAAATAATTATTCTGAATCAGGGTGTTTTCCAAAGGGAATTGACGTAAGAAGGTGGCCGGTCGTAATACCACACCCAAAAACATTAAAAACATGATCCAATAGTGGTGCCGACCCCATCTAGGTGGCATAATCGCAGCAGGATGAAGATATTACCATAAAATAATTTCACATGACGGTTGGAAATGAGTGTATCTCGAGGCAATTAATCAAAACATCCATTAGTGCCTAACGCTTGAGTCTGATTGATTAAATTAATCGGTGACTAAGCGGATATTTGCTTACGGTCATTAGATGAGTTCAATGCGATGAACGTTCGAATAAATGATTGCGAAGAGATCCAAATGCCGTTTCGAATTGTCTCGTGAACGAATCATTTTACGGTCTTTGTTATTTTTTACACAAGTTGAATGAAATTCGCTAAATTCTATAAAAAATAAAGTTATAATGTTTGAATTTCGTTATAATGTTCGTAAACAAAGAGAATGTAATCACTACGTTTAATCATGTTCGTAAATAGGACATGATTTCTGCGAACCTTTCATGTCATTAATTTCCGAATCATGTCAACTGTCAGCTGTCTCATTGCAACTCTACAGAGAGATGAATAGAGCACTCCAATATCGAACCTTTTTAAATAAACCTAGGTATTTCCATAAAATTTGGATAATCCTGTCGATATAATTGAACATTGCTATAAATATTCCCCTTTATAATTTTTTCACGATTCCCGTACTAAATGTCTTTGAGAATAATGAACCGGAGTTTTATTGTATTGTTTCAAATAGATTGCAAACCAGTGAGGGTTACTTCTTTTAGTAAATGATTACTGCCACCCATTTATTATTACATAATGTGTACACTATAAAAAACTATGAAAAAGTTGCCTGTTACCTAATTCATTGCACGAACCCTTACTGTGGTATTCGACGTCTTACAATGGCCATTTGCGTTCGATTTACTAAAACCACCAGCACTAAAATTTTCTTCCCCTAGCTTCAACTGAATAGTTAACATCTGAGACTAAATTACTGCTATCAAACAGGTGGTATAGTAGTCAAACACTAGGCATTCAAAGCTTTTTATTTCTAGAGCCGTGATAGCTCAGTGTTGGAGCGTTCGCTTTTAATTAATTATAGTCGCGCAACCTGAGTTCAAATCCTGGTGCGGGCAGTAATAAAACATTAATTTTAATTGTTGACTTTTCCCGTATAAGCGGCGAAAAAAAAGTCGTGAGGAAACTTACATATTTTTGAAATAATATCAAAAAATATTTCGAAGATACATAAAGTCTGCCGATCCGGAGTGGAATCTCGTTGTGAACTATGCCCTAATACCCTCTGTGCAGAGGAGGCCTTTGGCCAGTGGGACATGATATAATAGAGGCTGATATTTACTTTACTTCTTCCCTTTTAGATATCGCCAAGCCCGCTACGCGGCGAGGCGGGTCAGGAAGCGCGTCATCTTCAAACACGGCGACTGCAACGTCGTCCAATGGAACGTGGCGAAGCGCAGGCGCCGCTACCTGCAGGACATCTTCACGACCCTCGTGGACGCGCAGTGGCGCTGGACGCTACTCGTGTTCGCGCTCTCCTTCATCCTCTCCTGGCTCCTGTTCGCCCTCATCTGGTGGCTGATCATCTTCACCCACGGGGACCTCAGCCCCCCGCCCCCCGGGAACGACACGCAGTTCGTCCCCTGCCTCAACAACGTCAACTCCTTCACCGGCTGCTTCCTGTTCTCCGTGGAAACTCAGCACACGATCGGCTACGGGTCCCGCACGACCAACGAGGAGTGCCCCGAGGCTATATTCGTTATGTGCATACAGAGCATAGTCGGTGTTTTCATCCAAGCCTTCATGGTAAGACATTGAAGAAATCAAAATTATTTGTATCATATGTATTTGGTACCATTTATGGTATGTTATAACTCACTGTCCACTGATGAGAAGTCTGTTTTTCGGATTTCTTATTTCCAAAAATCGCTGCCTTATATTCGTGTCCTGTGCACGGCATAAAGACTCTATGTCGGTACAAAAATTCAAAACCTTGCGAAAACTCATAGAAATAGAAATTTATATCTAATAAAAAGAAGCAAAAGTTTTATAGTATGTTTAACGTCTTTATAGAACTATGGCCTCCCACGTAGTTTTTATTATTCTAAGGTAATATGAAAAACGATTAGTTTCTTTCTTTTTTGTTTTTGCCAATTTTGCCCATGGCAACCCAATATAGAAATTTGAGACGTCTACTTGACGCTATATCACTACAAAAAATCTCTATTTTAAAACTCTGCTATGACATCACTAGCGTTTAAAGGGTTATTATAGTAAATTTCATCTCGTGAACCTTTCTGCTTCGAAGCCAATGTATGAATTTAATATGGGAATAAACTTGGACGAGATCCAAATGTATTAACGTATTAAACAGTGATCCAGATGCTTAAAAATCGTTACGAAAAAGACGTCACCGAGCAGTACACATTACTTTCAGTTGGATATGTATAAGGAATATTAAACTTCTCGACATTAGTGGCGCCTTGAGTGCGCATTTTGTAGCTAACGCACGTTTTAGATATTTGTTTCGAAACGCCATTGGGGTCAGCAGAATGAGCACGTCCACAGGCACGGATATTTATGTAGATTTTGAAGAATGTCAAGTATTGGCTTTGGCGTCGGGGGTCGTGGGTTCGATTCCCACACGGGACAACTATTTGTGTGACCCACAGATAGTTGTTTCGCATCTGGATGTTTGTCCACGTGAAATTTATGTTTGTAAAACGTCCTTACAACACAGGATAACGTTATCCTAAACTACGGGTCAATGTTTAAAAAAAATAGAAAAAAAAAGGTAAATTTTAAATTCTTCGCTCATTTAAATTATTATGATCAGTTCTTAATAGAAAGACGTAAGAAACCGAGTTGTAAGTTAATTTAAATGAAAATGAAATATCGGATTTTAGAGGGTGATATGGGACATGACCTCCATGACCATCTTCATAAATCTAATCATCTATCGAGGCAGCAAAAGCCATGCAATTGTGTGTTGTTTTTTCTAAGTGAGCAGTTATTTCCTCATGTTAAACGATTACTGCCGCCCATAGACATCTACAACACTTGAGGATTTACATATGCATTGACAACCTTTAAAAAGTGAGCTTCGGTTACCTCACTCACCAGACGAAACGCGAAAACATACTTCCACTGCACGCTGGTCATCTGTGAGTCTGTGGTATTTCCCGGGATGAGCCTGCCCATTCGCGCAATAGCGGACTCTGTTGCGTGCCCCTACCACAGTCACCAACTAATTTTAGGTGGGGATCGTGTTCGCGAAACTTTCTAGACCAAAGAAACGGGCGCAGACCCTGCTGTACTCAAGGAACGCCGTAATATGCCTGCGCGACGGCCAACTGTGCCTGATGTTCCGCGTCGGCGACATGAGAAAGTCTCACATTGTCGAAGCCCACATAAGGGCACAAGTTATACGCCGCAAGGTATATTATAACAGCAAAGCGGAGACTGGTTAGTGATCGGGGATTTCGTCCGCACGCTTTCAATCTGCAACTAATCGGAGTATTGTCAACTCACACAATATACGCGCTGGTCGAAATTCGAAAAGGGAAATAGAAAAGCGAACAGTGGACGAATTCGAATTTCGACCGTCCGAACGTATCCCATAGCGGATGCGGAGTCATTGTGTCCTCTTGTCCGTAGGTGGGTCTTATTTTCGCGAAGCTGGCGAGGGCCAAAAAGCGCAACACGACACTCCTGTTCTCGAGGAACGCCGTGATATGTTTGAGGGACGGCGAATTCTGCCTCCTATTCCGCGTGGGGGACATAAGAAAGTCGCACATATTAGAGGCCCACGTCCGCGCACAGTTGATACGGAAAAAGGTACCGAGCATTGTGCGTTATCGTTTCTTACAATATTCCCTTGCATCGTTGTCGTTGTGCGATTGCGATATTTAATGTTAACAGCTGCTATTTATTTTGTTATTGTTGTCGTTATGTTTTCGCTGTTAAGACCCGTCTATGGATAAGTGGTACCACTGTTTTGATGCATGAAGGCGTGTTGCTTCCTGTTCATACTCGGCTAAAATCATAACAAAACATTGCATGCGCTTATTTTAGTATTAATTGGAATTGTCGTGAAACGTTATCAATACTAACGATTGTGCAATACCGACTTATATTTTCGCTCGTTGTTCGTGCACGCTTTGGAACTAATTGCATGCTTTTGACATGCTTTTTTTATGCTTATTTAATGGAAACCATAATTAAACATGAATTCCCGTGAAGAATGCAATCATAGTAATTAACGTTCGTTAAGTTTACGACTGATTTATAAAAAAAAATACTAAAGAAAAGATTAAAAACAACCTTCGTTGAGAAGCACAAATATTTTAAGCGGGAATTCGATAATTACTGAATTGTAGTAGAGCCACAATTATTATTTGTTTTTGCCTTTGATCTACCGCTTCTAAGATAATTCAAGTGTTTCATCTTTCATCATCGGTTGTGGTTGTACGATAACAGTCTCTTTGATACAATTTAATTATTTTAATTCGAATACTCGTATTTTAATCTAGTTATGACGTACGTTTAGATCACAAGAGAAGGGGAGGTGCTGCCGTTCTACCAGCAAGAGTTGAAGGTGGGCGCGGACGGTGAAGAGGACAGGCTCATGTTCATATGGCCCATGACCATCGTTCACAAGATCAACGAAAAATCGCCGCTCTACAACCTCTCCGCTTCGGACATGCTCAGAGAGCGATTCGAGATAGTCGTCATGTTAGGTAAGTCCTAAATTACTCCGTTTAAATAAGTAAATTATCGAATTTCAAATAAATCCGAAGGTGTGTATTTGGTGTACTCAAAAGGAAAACATAGTGATACTGTTTTCAGTACCTATGTTCGGGAGCTCTATCTAAGGTTCAGCTTTACTTCGTCGATTCGCCTAATTTGCCCGGCCTGTACATTGTAGCTTTATTATGTTTGAAACAAGGCATAAATAAACATATAGTATATTTCACAATTATTGTAAACGACTGGTAAAACTAGTTATTTATTGGATATCTAAGAAAATATGTTAAGTGAACAAAACGTAGGAATAAAACTTGGAAGCTTTCTACAGTGATAACCATATACCGAGTAAGTCTCATATCAGGTCATCATTCTACCACAAAATCATACCTAAAAACTTATATTAAGTTTTCAAATTACCTATTCGTTATTTCCAACAATGATCTGCAATCTACATCAACTTGGCACTTCCCCGACAGTGTTTTGGTCGCTTGCCCTAAACTAAACATGTAATGATGTGTATTTATCTATTCTATTTACGCTCGGGCCCACTTCGATATGTGCCATAAACGTGTCAACAATATAACAAACGCATGTGTTATTTCCTGAAATAAAAACATACGGTCCTATCAAAACATACATATAATACGAGTGTATAAGCGAATGTTAAATGACACTCTTATATGGATTCTGTCGCGTTTCGATCTAGCTTTAATAATCTCTAATTTGAAAGCGAAGACATGTTGATAAAGACAGTATAGTCTGTGCCGACAAGAAGTAACACGACTTCTTATTTTTTTTTGTTGTATGTGGCAAACGAGCTTACGGTTCACCTGATATTAAGTGATAACCGCCGACCATGAACATTTGCAACGCCCGTAAGGTTCGATAAAATTTAATTTAATATATTACTTATTAAAACGGGATAAGTAAATTAAAAGTAAAGCAATAGCCTATGTATATCCCACTGCTGGGCAAAGGCCTCCTCTGTGCATAAGGAATTAGGGCACAGTCCACCACTCGACCCCACTTGACACGCAACACTCATTAGCAGACTTCACATAATTATATTCGAAATATTTTTGCTTTTATTACTGTTATTTTGAAAATATGCAGGAAATGGCGCGGCTTACCTTCACGATGACCACGTGATAAAACAGAATAAACCCAGGATAAAACAGTAAAATATAAACTTATAAACGTTAAAAAGTTAAAAAGCCCAGTACAATAATTCTGGAATCTTCCAATTTTTAAAGTCGCCTCAAAACCTTTACTGTTTAACATTAAAGAAATCATAAATCGAACTTAATATGTCATCATCAATTTTATTTGTAAAATTCTTAATAATATTTTTTTACTTTCAGAGGGAGTGATCGAATCCACAGGTATGACGACCCAAGCCAGAAGCAGTTTCCTACCATCCGAAATTTTATGGGGGCATCGTTTTGAAACTATGGTTTCGTTCAGGAAGGACACGGGTGAATATGAGGTGAGTCTTAATTGATAGCTCCACTTTCGTATTCCACTTCTTCTCTAAGTACCACGATAAAAGTGCGAATTTAATTATCTTTACATAGTATAGCCGTGATAGCTCAGTGTCCGGGAGCTCGCCTTTAATTCAATATACTCGAGCAACCCGAGTTCAATCCCCGGTGCCGGCACCAATGAAGTTTTTAACTTTAAGTGCTGACTTATCACGTGCTCTGCGGTGAAGGAAAACATCGTGAGGAAACCTGCATATTTTCGAAATAATAACAAAAAAAATATATTTCGAAGATATGTGAAGTCCGCCAATCCGCAGTGGGGCCGCATGGTGGACTATGCCCTGATACCCACTGTATAGAGGAGGCCTTTGCCCAGCAGTGGGACATGTATAGGCTGTTACTTTACTTTTTACTTTTTACTAGCGTAGCGACAGACTTTGTTCTGTATACACGACTTAAATCCGAAAACAACTTATTAAGAAAAATAACATTGTAGTGGACCGAATTGCAAATCTAAACTATTCTTGAATCTACCTGAAGACACACAAAGAGATTCATTAAAATCGATCGAGCCGTTTAGGACGAGTTCAGTGACATACAGAAGAATTATATATAAAGTTAAATTAGATTCAAATATAAACCCAAACCTATATACAGCTTTAAAAACTTGATGACAGAATGGTTTAAAAGTTCAACTACCTAGAACCATGCACGCCGTGTTATGGGCTCGGTGTACAAATGGCTAAATAAAAAGTCTTTTGAAGCTGAATGTACTTTGCGGACACAAATTGCTATTTATATATTAATGAAGACCGACATAGATTAATTGTCTAATGTTCGAGTTTAACTAAAAGTAATATTTATATGTAGACTAGCGACCCGCCCCGGCTTCGCACGGGTGCAATGTATTATACATATAAACCTTCTTCTTGAATCACTCTATTTAGTAAAAAAAAACCGCATCAAGATCCGTTGGGTAGTTTTAAACATCTAAGCGTACATAGGGACAGACAGACAGCGGGACGACTTTGTTTTATATCATGTAGTAATGCACAGCAAAGAGACGTTTACATTTCAAGTGAAATTTTACCACAGTCACTCACTTGCTTTGTCTTCCCGGAACCCCTCCACTAACACATAAACTTTATGGTTTGGTATTAAAGTTCAAATTGACTTTTAATTATTATTACAAATCTTTCGTACGGGAATGTAGAAAAGTGTTGTTTTAAGACTTTTTCAGGCAATTTTTTTTTTAATTTTTCTCACCATAAGAACCATCTTCCTAATTCAAGGAATATTATTAAAAAAGAATTAGCGAAATCGGTCCAGCCGTTCACGTGTGATGCGTGATCAAGGGAAATAGGGATTCATTTATATATATATATATATATATATATAGATACAATATCACTTTGATAGGCAGTAGTCAGTGTAAACATTTATAATGAACATACGTGCAGAATAAATATTCTTCCGATTAAGACATTGTTTAAATGACATAACATTCTGCGAATTTCTACAGTGCAGTTTTAATCTGCTATAAGGAAATATAATTTTTTATCCTCGTATCCTTAGTTATACAAATAAAATAAAACTAACCTATGAGTTAGTTAGATACGAATAATTAAATGAAAAATTTTAAAATATCTACCGCTGTGGAAGCGCTGTGGAGGACGATACTGCAGGGTCGTCCGGGAAAGTACCATGTCTTCACAGAAAACCGTGGAAGTTATTAGGTACACTTTTTCGTTTTGTGTTTCTTTGGTGAGTTAAGTGGGCCCCACTATTTTAAATGTTGTCAACGCATCTGCCAGCCCCTCAGGAGCTGTAGATGATTTTGATACCGGTTGACAGTTAACAAAGTTCGCTTTTATAATTTCCATCATTGGTGAAGTCAAACAAAAATATGACAAACGCGATTGATTTGACAATTGACGCCGTGAGGTAAAGTTTAACCGACACAAGTAAATTGGAACGCTGTCCTTTTTTATGGACCGCTATAATAAAAACATTGTCCAAGAAAACCCTAACACTGTTCCAAGTGCCTGTCAAATATATTTTCTCCAGGAAACCTTTGATCGTTTTCAGCTTGATGCCAATTTGTTTAAGTGTTCCATAAATAAATCTAATATTTAAAAACAAACGAAGTTTAAGCGATAAAAATTATATTGTATTTATTAATTATGTCTTTTAGATGAACGATAAAAAATGTAATGTGTGTTTTATGTTATGTATCTTTGTGCGTTTTTAGTCAAATTAAATCTGTATCATTCAGACGTAAACGTAATTTAAACTCAAATAAGCTTTGCTAGGCTTATTAGCTTCGGCGTCGTGGGTTCGATTCCCACACGTATTTGTGTAACTCACCGATAATTGTTACTAATCTGGGTGTTTGTTTCCCGTGGAGGGTTGACGTCAGGCATGGCCGATCGTAAAAAACAGCCAAAAACTGATTACAACATGATTCAAATGTTGCGCCGACCCCACCTAGGTGGGATAAGGGAGGCTGATGTAAGGGGGAGGGTGACAAATTATAACACTGAATGTTTTTTATTTATTGTCCAATATTCAGGTCGATTACACACGCTTCAACAACACCTACGAAGTGGATACTCCCCTGTGTTCCGCCAAGCAGCTGGACGAACTTCGCGCCACAGTCTCCACCTCCCAGAAGTTGGGTATGTAAAGTCATCCATCCTTTTAAAAGACAACCTTTATTTTTATTCCCGATGGAGGTAGTATTGCTATGCAATTTTCATCACATTAAACTACGAAGTAGGACTGTCAGCCTAGACCCAGCATGAGACAAGAAACAATTCTAAAACAGTTAATCGTGTCGACGGGTTTTTGAGTCCATGACCTTACACGTCAATGGTCACCAGGTAATCGTTTCCTTCACTTACTATTTAGATCCGAAAATTTCAGTGCTCTTGATAAACTTCGTCACTTATCTCATAAAAAATATAGCTTAATACGGAAGTAAATGCTGTATATTTATTATTGATGAATAATTACGGACCGAAAAAAAAAAGCCGTGATAGCTCAGCGTCCGGGCGCTCGCCTTCAATTCAATATACTCGAGCAACCTGAGTTCGATCCCCGGTGCCGGCACCAATGAAGTTTTATTTAACTTTAAGTGCTGTCTTATCACGTGTTCCGCGGTGAAGGAAAACATCGTGAGGAAACCTGCATATTTTCGAAATAATAACAAAAAAAATATATTTCGAAGATATGTGAAGTCCGCCAATCCGCAGTGGGGCCGCGTGGTGGACTATGCCCTGATACCCTCTGTATAGAGGAGGCCTTTGCCCAGCAGTGGGACATGTATAGGCTCTTACTTTACTTTTTTCTTTACTAATTACAGACCGCATGCTGGGCACCATACCGAAGACGTTCTCCAACGACACCCTGGACCTGAGCTCGGTGGACTCGATTTCGCTTGACGAGCACATCGAGATCAAGATCCCCGAGGCGAGGGTCCGCGAGAACAGGCTGATGGCGCAGAACAACTTCGTGCAGCACATCAACGAGAAGCTGAAAGGCATCAACCACGCGCACCTGGCGGTCGAGAACCCGGAGCTGCCGAAGAACCACTCGATGACGGGCATCACGGAGCCGAAGGTTCTAGAGAGCAACGCGCAGAAAGACGGCATGCACCGGAGCCACAGCCACGCGAGCATGAAGCGGCCGCACGGACTCACGCCGAACGGCATCGGAGTCAACGGACACCACGAGCACAAGGAGCATCATAGGATAAAAAAGTGAGTTTGAATTTGGAACGTATTGATCTTTTTTTCCCTCTAGGTGGCGTTTTGTTCATTTTGATCATTTATGCCAATAGAAAAAAATACGTTTAAATTTGGAACGTTCTTATTTTTTTTCTCCTCCCCCCTCTGTCCGGCATTCAATTACCCTTTATGCCAATGACAACTAAAAGGAGGGAAACAGTCTCTTTTCTTTATTTAAAAATTTTCTCAGTCACCACGAGTTTTTTAAAATTTAAAATAACATCCTCCAGCGAATTTTATTATTATTTTCTAATAAACCTAAATCCGTAGTATTTTTCTTTGGCCTTGTTACTTTATATATTCTTGCATTGGCAGAATAAATAAATGTTAAATAATTAATGAAAATTCGATCGATTTTCGAAATTTTAATACATGCTTTGAAATTAGTTCACTTTGACTTTTTAAAAACGACGTGACAGTTTATTTGTTTTTGTTATTGTCTCACTATTTATTTCTCTTTTTACAGATCGCCAAGTGACAACCACATAGTGGAACCCCCAGCTCTGCCCATACCGATACTGGTCACGTCACCTGAACCGGAGCCCGCATGACGGGCCCAAGTTCGATTCCAAAACATCCCCGCAATATAGCAAGTACCCATGCGAAGACTTATTAAACATCCCCGAGTAGCAAGCACACTTGTGGAGACATAAACATCCCCGAATATAGCAAGGACCACCGTCGTGAAAGTAATGAAACTCTTCCCAAGAAAACAGCTAAACTTTTTTTAAACAATGTCATGCAAATTGTGTACCTCTTTTCTTAAACAGTTTACATTAAATTTATGTATTTAACTTGGAACATATATTTTTATCTAAAAATGTCTAATCTCATTCGCTATAACAATTATGGTTCTTTTTATACAGGAAAACATAAAAGCGCTTAATGTCGTGGATATAAAACGGCACTTGTAGCTTTATAATATGTAAAGATTAAAAGTAAGGTAGAATACATTTAAAGAATGTCATCAACGTGTTCCTCAATCGAATTAAGATTATTTCAAACTGTCAGTGTTGTTAACTGTTGACCCATGTAATGGATAAATTAAATTATGTATTCTTTCCGCTCAATTATTGGACGGAATAAACATAATGCGATGTGCTTCCAGTAGGGTACGTATTTTGGATTGGTAGAGGGTGCGAAAAACTCTATGCGCCTCTGAAGTTCGTCCAAATCATTTGGTAAATTAGTTTAGATTTAATACATAGGTACCGGATAAGTTTCATGCGGAACTGCCGGGTACTGCTATCTCGTTCGCACTGCTGTCTAAATAGCTTTCTACCCTGCTCACACAACAAGTTTGTGTACAGACGGGACCGTCGCCGTTATTCGGTTTTGTGAATATATGTTTTTAGATATTAGTTCAGGTTTTATCAAGCTACATTTTAAAGTTTTGAACGTGATGATAGTCAGAACTTGTGAAGCCAATTCACTCAGCCGCATTTCAGTTTCGCGCAACCTACACTGCAGTATTGTTAAGATATTTGTTACGTGCTTGTGCCAAATAACTAAATCTTGTAACTAGTTATAAATCTATAGTGTAACTACGCTTTTTTCTCTGCTATGTATCTGTAGAATTAGTGTAGGTACTGTTCATATTAACAGTATTTGAAACGATTTCCAGTTTTTGAATTAGGTAAATTTAAAATCAGTAAAAGAGATAGGATGTTAGAGCAAGTATTTATTTTTTAATATTAGCCAAAACAAAATGTTCCGGGGATTTTTGAATTTTCAATTATACGCTTTATTTACAATACGTGTTCCAGCTAAATCGGCGGCGTTATTACAATTAAATTAATTATAATTGCACTTTTGTTTAATTTCTATCGGCAGTCAAACTAACGATGGAAGTATGAAAATCTTCTATTATTTCTAATATATTGTCGTATCGAAATAAAATTTCGAACAAACAAGTCATCTGTTAGTTAAATGACTATTCATAAGACTATTGTGGACGTTCCTTGGATTAAATCCAAAAATACATGTACAAATATATACGCAGAAATAAAGTGCCGTCAAATTGACTATTGTATTATAATTTTCTTTCACTCTCAGCTCGTCATGTCATTCATCAGCGAATGTTCTAGATGTCCATTATTTTAATTGCTGAAAACATTGTCACTCACTGTTGGGTAGATTTGACTAATAAAATAAAATTAAGTGTTAGTTTTACTAATGCTTTGTTTGAATAGTTACTGCGAAATTTTGTAACATGTTAATAAATATGATTTACGGATGTGCGGTGTTTTTAATGATTTACTGCACTTGGTAATGAGAATATAAGTATTATTTTACTATCCCAATATAAAAAAAGCTTTTAGCGGTGCTGGCGCCGCCATTTTTAGTCCAATTGAAAGCTTTGTTTTCCTAAGATATAGAAATAAAGATGAAAAGATATTTATAATAATAAGCAATTGTTTTATTTCTGTTTTTCCATTTTAATTATGTCTTTACTTAAAAATTTTATTAACACCTATAGTATATTATCTAACAATAGCACATTAAAATTTGAGAAAATTTTCTTCGAGGTTTACACTAAATTAACTTATCACTATTAAATACTAATGTAATTAAGCTTAGAGTATCGATATATATCTTCTTACACGTTTGCATTGTAAAATATCATAACATTTAGTTATCTTAAAATTTCTAAATATAACTTTCCAGTAATAGATGGCGCTCTACATTTAAATAATACGTTGTAAGACTCTTTGAACTGAAATTATTAGGCTCCTTTGTCGCTGCCTTTTCTAGAACTCGACTTCTTTTTGAGCTCCTCATCTTCACTGGATGATGAGGAATTATCACCGTTGCTGTTGAAGTAGTCGGGTGGGTATTTTACAATGGACGGCCTGTTTGTAAGGCTGGCCCTTCTGATGGCGTCGACGACGAGCCTGTCAGCGATATTGATGAGCGGTGATCCCGGCACGCCTTTGACGTCATTGAAAATCAGTTCACGGGGCAGGGACGTATCTCCGGTGTACGCTGAAATGACAACGTTAAGTTTCTTTATACGCACAGATCCAAATCAAATGTGGGTGATGTATTTAACAACAGGGCTTCTGTTCTTACATCACCCATAAAACATTCACACTTTCATAAAGTTTATGTCAATTTTTTATTGAGATGTACAAAGTTTCAAGGTAGAGTGTGAATGCAGCGAGGCACACAAATAGGCATAGGAATACATATATTAAACTGGTGGGGCCATGCAACAGTTCGCTATTGCTCGAATGGGCAGTTCCCTCCGGGAAAGTAACACGACCTCACAGAAGACCGCCGTGAAGTGGAAATGTTATACTTCAGTGTTTCGCCTGGTGAGTGAGGTAGCCGGGACCCACTTTATTAAAAGGTGAAAACGCATTTACAATCCTACGGATGTTTCAATGGCGGTTATAACTGAACATCACGTGAAAGTTATTATTAATCCTTTATCGATTTAAATTAATTTCTTTTCACAAACAAAGGGTACTGGCACAGGGAATGAAGTTTTCAGTTATTTTTCTTTGATTTATCGTTTGTTACGCATAAGAATTATAACTTCTTACGTGCGTACATAAGTAGGTACACACAAGTTTTTTTTTTTCAATAAAGACTATTTGTATGGACCATAGAGAGACACACACTTAATTGATTAAAAATTAATTTAAGTTTCATTTAAAATCTAAGTTCACAAGCTTTTATTTAAAAAAAAAATATTGTTCAGTCCCATGATATGTTATAATAGGTATATTATACACATACAACATCGCTGGTCGAAAGTGTTCCTTCCATTCCAAACAGACTGACAGAACACACGTTTTGTCCTAATGTTATGAAAAGTCACTTTAGTTTAAGTTTAAAAATAATCTCAAGATGTATCCGTTTTTCTCGACCCCGTATTAAACTCTTAAGCTGCCTCTTTGTCTTTTAGCCTCGAAAACGTTCCAATCAGGCTGTTTTCTTGGTTTCACTCCGGGCGCGTTAACATGTCTGAAGTACAAACCATCAGTCTATAGTAATTAAATACAAAACTGATTATTTTATGAATTGTTAACTGTAAGGATTGGTTATCTCGGACTTATAGTCTATATAGTACTATCTAAAGATGTTCCCCGTAGGGTTCATATCTGAAAGCCCATGGGAACGGATTCGCACACAATCGACAGCCCTGCCAGAACTAGCCGTTCTTCGGGAGGAAAATCAGTTCTTTTCCGGGCAAGCTGAACATGAAACACGTATCAGCTTGGCTTCTTTTACGTGAGTTATGAACTTCTTATAGTGCGTACTACTTCGAATTAATGGATATAGGAAAGTAATCGCTGACATCCAGCAATTATCCCCCAGCAAGACTGGTTCAGTCAAGAACCAGAACTGAGTTTTCGTTATTGATTTTGTTTTTTTTTCTCATTACGTTTTCTAAAGTTTTATTGGTCACATTGAACGGATATCGAATTACAAATACCATTCAAAGCTCTAAAAAGGTGGATAAGGGATATTTGATATTTTTTAACAAATTGAATAAAAATTTATTTTGACAACACAACGAAGCTGACATACACATTAATAAAGCTCAAGCACGGAGACGTTGCCGGTTATTAAAAAAAATTTAAGTACTAAAAAATTGTTCCTGCCTGATTAGAACAATATTTAAAAGCAGGTCATAAGGAGTTACTGAGGTAGAGCATAAAACATCTACGTTTTCTATATCGCTGAAAACAATGTCGTGTTTAAAAATTAATAGACGAAGCATCCAAAACCGAAAAGGTTATGCAAAAGACATCTTCATAGAATTTACTTAACGGGCGTTAAGTAAATTATTAATATTAAGGTACTTATTGTTAAAATAAAAACATTTGAAGCATATTTTATCATTCGTTATTTACATATAACATCTCAATAAATACCACATCACTAACATAAAACAAAAAGATATACAAATACATTTACTATACTACTATTATTGATAAATTTTGAACATATCATCAATGAGAAAAATCATTACTACATTCTGCACTCGTAGTAAAAGTTTTTATTTTTGACTAAACAGTTTTTCACGACATTCATATTATCATTTTACACAGGTTGTATGTTTATTTCATTATTTTGAATAAATCACTGTTTTGTTTTGTTAAAGTTGATATTAAATCTATCAAATGACTAGTAACGTAAACTGGAATGCACATTGTAAAATACTATTTCGCATAATCAAACTTAAACTAAATGGAGATTCACATAAATAACTACTTAAAACTTAAAAAATCACTTTAACTTCTCATACAAGGAAAATAAATATTTTTATTTCTTATATTTTGTAACGCAACTAAACTACTTTAGGGACTTTAGAGTTGTAAATACCATCTTTTGATTTGTAACATTTAGATTGTCTCTAGTCACCCATTCATGGAACGGACTGTGTTTTACTTGCTTTTGAGTTATTAAATTCTACATACACTGGAAAAATATTTCAATTTCAATTAAATTTAAATATTAAGTGGTATAGAACGGGATAAAATCCCGTAAAATATTTCATTATCAAGAGATAAACCTTTAAATTGTAAATTTTTGCGCGCTTTTTTATATTTTACCATGTGTTAACTTTTAACGATGCTGCTAATAAAACATTTATGATAAATTTTCCATATTCAAGGACAATTCTCTGCTCTTGACGCGATTTGGTGGCTGTTAGAAATTATAAAGTGACTGTGAAGTCTCCATCCTTCTGCTCAGCTTTGGGTTCCGTGGACGCTGGCTCCGGCATCTTCAAGACCATATGCTCACCGCTCTCTGCGAGACATCACAAAGACACACAGTTACACATTGACAAACACAAAAAGCAACATTCATTAATATTAAAATTAAAAGTTGGCGAAAACCAAAGGCGAGGCAGATAACATAAAACAAGACAGAAACATATATCTCTTAACACTATCGTTAGTTATCCTTATCTATCCTAAACAAGGAGACGGCGACAACTGTTGCCCTCGTTTCAATAAGCTTGTTTAGTCACAAACATGACAGGTGATGAGTTTTTCAGCATTCAACATGTGAAAATGTGCGTCGGTAAATTCCACATGTATTCCAAAACGGTTAAGTTATTGGTGTAGGCCACAGGTATTTTATCCCTTGAACGTTACTCAAAACGTCCCTGCCACCGGATAATGAGTATGTCTCTAAGTAATGTTAAATATTTATAAATGTGGTCCCGATTGGATGTACAAAAACAGTGAAAGATATTACTCTCAATTTACGCGATAATCTACCGTTAATAAGAAATGTGTACAAGTTAAACATATAGGGAAATACTCAAATCGGAAAGAATTATCTGTACATCAAATAATTATCCTATACGCGAGTAGTGGCGGTTTTTAAATTCTGAACGATGTTTCCTACAAGCATTTTTTCTTTGATTCGCCAAAACATACTGATTACATTCTACATCATGATACCGTAGACAAGTCAACAGAAAAAGCAAACATATTTTTGTACAAACTCTAATAGCTTTTGTATAAAAAAACGTACTTAAACGTAATCAATATCTTCTTTATCATATAACTATTATGACTAAATTATCTATGCAATAATTTAATTTACAATGTTTACAATTAAACTCTTTATGTCATAAATTAATTTTACACAAGAATTAAAGAAGGATTTTTATACACAACAACAAATAATCCAAGAACTATATATGATGAACTAAATCTTGTCAAACCCAGTAACAACTATGAAAATGACCGATTAGTAAGTAATGATTCACGCAAATTACAGCTATCTATGAGGCAATTTAAATAAGTACTAAGACACTTGTAAACTTGCACGTCCATTCGGGTGTATAGCCGATGCAAATTGACCATCCAGTTGAGCCGATTGTTCTCAGAGCAAATGAGAAATAAGATGTATATCCTGTATTAAAAAGGGGGATAGATAGTGACAGATTTGTTGCTTATTCAAATTGACAAAATGGCGCTTCCTGTTATTTCGCATACGGTAGAGAGGTCACTTTAATCGGAATCAACAAATCATCACACGATATGTAAGTAGTAATATGGGAGGTGAACAATAAAGAGAATTAGTTTTAATTCAATAGTAACATCATGTGACCGCAGAAGTAGTATTCTATATGCCATTATAAAGGGACATCTAAAGAACTGATGTTCTGCTTATTCTGGATCGGCCTTGTCGTTGATAGACTGTATTGACCGAATATTATCTCCACAATCCTACTTGGTAATTCTTTATAGAAGATGAGTAATTAATTTAGAGTATTTAGGTTGCAGATAAAAAAAATATGAAGGACTTTATTTGTTTAAACTAATATTAAAATCTTGAAGCGAATTTCTTTACAGCGTATATACCGTGATAAAAGATTACGTTGTAATCGCTTTAGTCACTTTATTATGACGTATAATTTAGACAAACCATATTTTACTACTAAGTTGAGAAAGGGTATCTTGGGATTTAAAATGTGCGTCATTATTACCTCAGCACATAATCCGTCTAATACTAGAATCATATTTATATCACGAAAGAATCCTAATCCACTTGACAAGAATCTTCATCCCTATATAAGGACGTTCAAATAACCAATTTCTTTTCAAAATTAAGTTAATAGCAAAAACATATTTTAATGGATATTTGCCAAGTGATCCATAGGTTGTTGAGGTTTCGGATAAAAATTATATCTAATCATATGTAGTTTATTGTATTTTCTCTCGTATCAAAGCAAATTTTCATTACAAATAAAAAAAGGGAAGGCCATTACCATTAAAGGTAAGAATAATCTTTTGGAGTAAAGCAATAATCTGCAATGTGAAAATGGAATGCTATCAATCTCGATAAGATGGCTGATAAACATTTTATACTTGTGCAAGGTGGAAGTTTTCATAATTAAACCTATTATAAAACAGATTAAGTACATAAAACTACGATTCAAACGATTTATTCGACGCGTGTCGCTAAATGTACTGCTGGTATGTTTGTGTCACGCCTCATAAGTCATAAGGTAAATAAAGCACATAGGTTATGAATAATAACATATTGTTCTAGTCTGATGCATTGATTTAGATAAAGCAAGAGATAACTGGCTTCACATATCGATGAATTCGCTATTTCTATCACAAAGGGCACTTACAAGTGAAGTTTATTAGGTATTGACGTTAATAAATGTCTTGAAGACGACTTTTATTGCATGGAAAAAGGGAAAAAACTCATAATAGATGCGGAACGAGCTGTTAGCGACTGATACACTTAATTAGACTCATAGACAATAAATTAGGTTTTATCAGGGCGGGCAAAGAGACAAACACAAGACGTTTGTTGACCCTAGATAAATAATATTGCAGATAATTCAAAATGGCATACTGCGGAAATGACATATAGAGGATAAATATTTAAAATATCTAAGACGTACATATACTATTTCTAAAGACATACTACATTTTGAAAGTTTAGAAAAAATTCAAGAAGGTATCTTTATCATTGAACTCATTTAGTTATGAGCCCTTAATTTTTGAAACCCTAATAAATTAAATGATGTATATTTATACAATTTTGATTAAAAATAAACTTACCGATTGATCTACGGTCTGGCTGATTGCCATAGAACTCGTCCAGCTCTTTAGCCGAGCACAGTGGCGTGTCAACCTGCGTAGTTTCATCAAACTTTGAGTAGTCCACCTCATATCCTTGACGCTCGCGGTTATACGTCACTAAGGGCACGAACCTGTGGCCCCACATAATCTCACTGGTCGTGTAACTGGAACGCGCCTGTGTCGTTTGCCCCGTTGACTCAATCGTGCCCTCCAAAATTACAACAATCTCGAATCTCTCCTGCAGCACGTCCGCCGCGGAGACCCCGTAGAAAGGACTCTCGGCGTTTATCCTGTGGACCATTGTGATGGGCCAGATGAAGAACAGATTGCTGTCGCATCCGTCCGCATTCAGCTCCAATTCAGTCTGGTAGTGGGACAGAAGCTCGCCTTCCTTCGTCGTCCTGGATCGTATCAATTGAGCTCTCACGCTGGCCCCGATGATGTGCGACTTCCGCAAGTCGCCGACACGGAACATTAGGCAGAGCTCTCCGTCTCGCTGGCACACCACTGCGTTTTTCGAGAACAGAAGCGTCTGCGTCCTGTGCTTGGGCCTCGTCATCTTCGCGAACACGATGCCAACCATAAACGCCTGTATCATTACGCCGACGATACTCTGCAAGCACATTATGAATATCGCCTCGGGGCATTCCTCCGTCGTCGTTCGGGAGCCGTAGCCGATCGTGTGCTGGGTTTCGATGCTGAACAGGAAGCACGAAGTGAAATCGTATATGTTGAACACGCACGGTTTCCAGTTGGAGGACTCCTGCATCGGGGGCAGATGGTCGATTTCCAGGTCGCCGTGGGTGAACGCGATCAGCCACCAGATGAGGGCGAAGCCGAGCCACGAGAGGATGAACGAGAGCGTGAACACGAGTAAAGTCCACCGCCACTGCGCATCGACGAGCGTTGTGAACATGTCCTGGAGGAAGCGCAGCCGGCGCTGCGAGATCCGCGACTTGAGTATGTTGCACTCCCCATTCTTGAGAATGGCCCGACGCCTCGTCCTCCTCGTGGCACCGTGCCTATGCGATCGGGTCCTGCAAACAAACACGGAAACAGATTTATCGTGGTGTCTCGGCCGAACGACCGTCGTTATCCATTTACTCAGCGCTCTTCGCACGTGTGAACGAGTAAGTCACACTCATGCGCTTTTCGCACGAACGGCGACAACCTTCGACGACGTTAATGTCGTTAGCGGCCCTATTGAAAATGCATAATTGTATGACTCTTAACACAGAACACTGGGGAGGTTAACATAGCTGCGGAAGGGGACGTTGGTACAAAAGCGAAGCGTTCTGTCTGTCGCGGACGGCACAGGGTGGCGATCGACGAACCTCTTGCCGACTGTGGGGTAGTAGACGCCGGGGGAGAGGTTCCCGTTTGCCGGCACCGCCTTGACCTTGAGCCACTCGTCCGGAAGGAGGTGAGCCTCCTCGCGGCTGGCGGGCGACTCCGGGTCGGCGTGCATCTCCGCTGTGTTCACTTCGTCCGCGCGGCTCAGTCGCAGAGACACATCTGCGCCAGCATCCCCCGACGTATCTCCTGAAGCATCGCCCGCGATAATGTCGCGGTCACGACCGCCCGTCGACGGCGCTAACCACTTTATAATTGTATCGCGAGATTCTATATCGGGAAATTATCAGTCCACCGCGGAAAACAGTTTTCGGTTAGTGCCTGCCGCGGCGTCGACTATAGGGTGCGCAATTGGCTTTATCGTTCGACGGCGATAGCCGCAAGAACAAAGTAAAACAGTTTGCGTTCAGCGCTGAGAGGCTCGCGTATTTAACATGTCCTAATTAAACACGTCTTTATGTCACATGGCACCTACTTACGAACGAGACGTCGTCACAACATATGCACACACGAAAAACATGACCACAGAGCTACCGCTTCATCATTTAGCTTAGGTATAATACCTGAAAGAAAATATATAGTGGAAAATCTAAAACTTCCATCCATAATAAATCATTTATCATCATCATTCATTATTTACCTTAACTATTTAATTCACTTTACTGTTTAAAATTATCAAACCTAGTCATATTTATAACTATAAAAAAATGTTCTGTGTATATTTCTGATATTTTTTGACACTTCTCAAAAGCTTATTATTATAATTTCCGGAATAATTTTAACTTCCTATAGATGAGCAAATAACTCAATTGCGCAGGATACATACATTTGTCTGGAGCGATCACACAAACACCAATCAAATAACAATTTGACAATGCTCCAGATATTTTCACGATGACATCGAATGTGTGTAACAAAAATATATAGACATTGATTTCTTTCATATACACAAATACTGAATAATTGTAAATGGACCTACATTTACAAATATTATAGTGTTCATTTCTAACATACAATTTTCTACATCCACGTCTGTCCTGTACCCATGCGAGGAGGTTGCAGTGTTTGACACGTTTACTTAACAGCCAATAACTATAGCACTTACATTGAAATGTATATTGTACATTAAACTTTGTAAATAGTACAGTTGGCGCTTTAGCTAATATACTTAAAAAACTTAAAAGCAGTATATCTGCCATTTAGGCGGAAACGACAAAGCATTCATCGATATTTATGTTATACAACGTACGTTGAAACATCCTTGTCATTTATAATTTTTTTTAAATATTCACACTGTGTGCCCTTATTTATCTCTGCTTGCACATACCGGCAATTTTTTTTAAACAAAAACTTTTTTTCTAAAAAAAGGAACATTTGAAATAAATACAGCCTGTATAAAAACCAAAATGGCCGACCACCCTCCATTTCATTAAATACGTAATTTGCCAGCGTGCGAATTGGGCTGCTAATACGCATCTTTTCCAACACTAATTTGCTGCTCTCGAGCAATTTAAAATTGAAGGTCGTACTCAAAACGTAGGTGACTCTAAGGTTTTGTTTGTACAAGAATACGCCACACCTCACGTTACGCACATTATTTTAAATATAAGGTAATGATTGATACAACATCTAAAATTGTAGTTCAGAGGATGATTTATCAAACATGGCGTTAGATAGCGAAAAGATTTGACTTCTGAGCGTTATTGCGTCGGTCTTAATAATGCAAGATTGAGGACTGCGACAACTTTAGTGTCATTTTGGACACACTACAGCTTCCGCTGTTGCACGAATGAGCCAGCTCGTCCAGTGAAGTACCATGGCCATAAAGTAGAGCAGAATGAAATAGAAATATTATGCTCGCGAGTTTACTCATATTTTACAATACATCCGCTGAAGTCGTTTACCCGCGGTTCGTCTTCTGAGTGAGGTAACCGAGAACCGCTTTGTAAATTTTGTCAACGCACCTACATTCCCTCAGGTGTTGCAGATGTCCATAGGCATCGGTAATCACTGCTTTATCGCTTGCCAACTTTCCCAGTAAAAGAAAAACTTTAATATGCACTGTAGGGCTTAAAATCAAGTAAATGACTATTGGCAGTTCTCCAACGACTTGAAGTTATGCCCTTTGGTATTTATAAAACTTATCGACATACTACGCATTATTATAGCCAGAAGACGCTGCAATGATATAGATAATATATTATTATCTAATAACTTTTATATTGACATACATAAACTCTGACGCTTATCACTCAGAGATGTAAGAGTGATTTCCCATTTCTCGTAATCTCTATTTTACTATTACTTGAATATCCGAATTTAAAATTAGTACTATTTTAAGCTTCGATTATAAAATACCTTTCTACTCATTCAATTCGAAAATATGTTACTATTAAATCAAGTAATATTTAATAAAAGTACATAAATAATTCCTTGTACAATTTATCGTGTATATTTGTTTTTATAACAAATTTTTAAGAAATTTTATAGAAAATTAAAAAAAAAGTGATAACCGCCACCCATGGACATCTGCAACACCTGATGAGTTGAAGATCCGTAAACAACCTTTAACAAAGTGGGCCCGGTTACAGACGAAACGCGACAGTATTATTCTTCTACTTCAGGCTGGTTTTTCTTGAGACCATGATACGTCCCCATATAAGGCAGAATTTAGGACAGATACTAGTAATTCATATTGAATAGTAAATATTAAATATGAATAATATATTTTAGAGTAAACGTAAACAACAATCTTAAACAGATAACATTCTGAACTTCTTAGTTATGGACGTTAAACATTTTTAATTCATTGTAAAACCTGGAAAGCGTCCTTAATGACCTCAAAAATTTTATCATCACGACGAACAAATTACAAATAACATTACAAATAAATTTATTTAACTCCGCTCTTAGATAGTTGCCCCGCCTTCGAGTTATACACGATTTATTATTTATTATTGAACAATAAATAGTACGAAGTATCGTCGTGAAACTGAAATCAGCACCTTGTTGTTGTCAGTTTATTTCCATAGGTGTGTAACAACCTAGTTTTTTACGTCACATTAAACTTTGGGTTATAATTCTGGATCCAAATATACCAGTATGATGATATCTTTAATTTGGTTTAACAGAGAAATAACATATTCGAGATAAAACATAAATTATGTTAACCAAACGATGACAAACACATTGGTAAAATACGGCCTAGCCTGAATTACAATGCATTAATATTTGCGTATAAGTATTTTGACGTACTGATGGTCAGTAGATCCGACACGTGTTAGAGAGGACACCACGATTAGGCAAACGTGGCGTGGGACGACGTAACTGACGACTTAAGAAAGGTCGCGGGCAGCGGATGGATTCGGACTGCCCTGGACCGGGATAGTTGGCGCACTTTGCGGGAGGCGTACGTTCAGCAGTGGACGGAGATAGACTGATATTGTGATTGTGATTAGTAAACTTGAATCTGCATCTTGTGCGATTTAAGATGAGCATTTGTGAAAATGTATCAAGTTCACCAGTATTCACTGTGTTCTTGTAAGTCACGGATTGAAGAGGTCCGGCGAGGAGAGGAGAACCTCTTTTATCTATTCCGTGGTGTACTATGCATGAAAGCATTTTATGCGATAAAAAGTTATGCGAGTTACTATGTAATTGACATGTGATTGATGGACGAGTTTGACGGCTCAGTTTGTCCAGTAAGTATAGTGTACTGCATTCGAATTTTGCATTACATTTTACATACATATATGGGAAAAGTGACGAAACAAATTTAAATCTTATAAATGTTATTCCTTACGTTGCATATCAACGCATTGCTACGGTAATTGTAGTAAATAAAAACATCGAAACAACAACATACTTGGAAACCTGACAAAACGCAAAAGTGTAAAATACCTACGCGATCAGGGAAGTACCACGCTACGCTGAGATAAGGTATTAGGGTAATTATTTACAATACCAAAATCAAAAATTATTTTAATCGATAGGTAGTGAAACATACACTTTTTTATCTATTATTGTTGAGGTATCCGGGTGTCCCTATTAACGGTTAACAATGCAACTGCAACACACCGAATGTTCCAGAAGACCATAAGATAATCTTGTGATTAAGTGAAACACGTGCTCGTTTACCACCTTCTATCGTAAAAACACTACGCAGTTCATATTCAACCTTAGCAACCGTACACCACTGTACTCATCCAGGAAGACGCCTTTGTAACTAAAATAGCCGTTCGCGTTACACTTGCCTCTTATGGTATAAATAAAAACTGTTACACAGACAACAGTAACAATTTGCCCCCGCCTGGTAATAAAGGGTAATAAAGGATACTTCACTTATATGGGTGCTATTTTAGATCAACCAACTGCTATTTTAAATCATAACGTGAAGAAGTTTATTTTTTTTTTACAGTGGTAGGGCCACGCAGCAGCCTCGGCTGTTGCACGAATTGGCAGGCCCGTCCAGGTAAGTACCACGACCTCACAGAAGACGGCGGCGGTATTCACTTACCATCAGGTGAACCGTCTGCTAGTTTGGCAACTTTTCACATAAAAAAAAGCTACAAGTACAGAGTGATCCTAACCAGATTTTTACATAATAATAATAATAATATACTTCTTAATATATCTTCCAGCCAAGAGTTTTGACCGTTCTAATCCCCATTGTTACGCTACTGCTTCAGGTAGCAATGAATATCCTAGCAATAGTCCACTGACCCATTTGTGGAGCCGCGGTGTAATATAGCAGTAATAGTAAGCTATTCTTGCACTGCCACATATGGAAGCCATTTAAAAAACTAAATCAACCCCCGTTACAAATGGGCATATTTCCGTGTGATATAAACAAGAGATTGGACAAGCAACATTTACGTGGATAACTGTTTGCATCTATAAGAAGTCAAGAGAGAGTCTATACTAATGATAGTAACTGTAAGTGTATTCTTTACTATATACCCATTTCAAAGGCCTTATTGTGTTAACCCGGATTATTGCTGTATAATGATTTTTTATAAAAGTAACGACATTCACAATGTAGAGGGTGTAAGTGGTCAAGTATTATATTTTAAATCCCCTTGTCCTAGAATCACCTAATAACTACGCACCTAAGAGACCACAATGAAGATTGACGGGGGACACGTGCTGGACGTCATAAGACATAACTGCACGCGAGACAAAGACTGAAAATGAGTTCGCTTTTAGACGACAATAGCCCATTGCGGCGACCGACTGAATAGTTGAATACATTAAGATGAGTCTACGGTCAACAAGATCGCATGAATTTCCTCGTGGAAACAACACATATTTTAAGGCTTCAGCTGAATTAAAAAAACAGTAAATTAATCGATTGGGACGCTTTTAATACAAGAAATTCGGAGTCAAAGTTACAGCTCTCTGTTAGTCAATATAGATCTATTGAAATAAGGTAAAAATAACTCGGTGATACAAATACTAGAAAAATATATCTAGATATCGGACGCTATTAAAATAAAGGAATCATTTGTGGTTATGATTCACATCAGGGACGCTTTACGTGCTGAAGTGAACTGCTTGATTTACTTCAGCTTCATAGAACGCTTTTTACGCTTCATAGAAAACAAATAGTTGTCCCGTGACCATGAACGCTGGAAAGGGTTCGAAATGTCGGGAATTTCAAAATTAAAATAAAAACGCGATAAAATCCGTAACGTTTTTAAGTGGTATTCTGGTGTTGCGTATGCCCATGAGCGGTGGTAATCACTTCAAGTGAGCCCGTAGCCGAGTTCGCTTCTTTTTTCAAAAACTATATTGTCAAAAAAGAACAAAGAACCTAGACTAAATATTCGGTCCCAACCCAGGATATTTTATTATACCTAATATTTACAAATAAATTCTAATTAAATTACATTTATTATGTATCTAATAAACGTAGCCTACGCCATAGATTTCTTTCCTGTTTTTTCTGTCTGCCTGTTTAATACAGAGCAAGATCCGCCATGCACTCACATGCGGATTAGTCGATTTTATTTCACTGTGATTTCTTAGATGTATGTATACTTTTCCTGTGTGAAAAATCCTTTAATAAATTTTAATACTAAAATCGCTTGTCAGGTTACCACAAGACTGATAGTTACTCGTACATGACTATATAGTTGCGGACATATAGAATAGGGCTATAGGCCATAGGCTATATATAGGCCTTCTGTTTGCCGTACAACGTTCTGTGTGCCTCTCTACCTGGATGAACTCAGGTACAGTGCAGAGTAGATATAACGGAACACTAAATAAAATACATTCTTCTTTTACGTAAAACCTAAGTCGATAGATAGATAGCTATATTTAAGTTATTTTGGTATTAGAAAATCTGCACAATAAATATTTTTTCACAATTTATTTCATAATTCGCAAGATCTCATTTTATCATACCTTAATATAAAACTAATTTTATAATTCATAACGTTTCGTTTTATTGTGAATTATGTTGGTGAATTACGTTTATCAGAGAAGACATTTTTAGTTATATTATCATTTTTAAGTTACGAAGTGGAAAGGTCTTAAGATGCGATTAATCACGATTATCTAGACACGTATCAGTTGTTTGTGGATTTTCATGGATTTTGATGGAGATTAAAGTATTATCCTTCAGTTTAGGAGCATCTACAACTTATTTACAAACCTTGAAACCTAATATTATTAAATAACATGTTTTAAGTTGAAAAAGTTGTTAATAATTTCTATTGAAGTTTATTTATTCTAAATCAAGTATATCCAATATCAATTTAGTTTGCTTTAAAAAATTTATTCGTAAATTTTCACATATTTTACACGATTTTTTGTGAAGATTTCTCTGACATTGATCTATCCGACATCAAAAAAGAAAGATATTCTCAAGTCGATTTATTATTATATCAACCAGACCTGAATTCTTATTTCAGAACTTGGTTCTTTAGCAACTATTCAGGTTCGGTTTAGCTCCCATGTGATCCCATATTAGTTTCATTGATACTGATGATCCTTGGACTCCGGAGATACATCAGGCAACTCTCAAAGTCAAGCGAGTGAAGTATTTGAAATTTTTTGGTTGTTGAAATTTTTTTTCAATTAAAAGGTCGCATGCGAGTCGCGATTCACCCGATACCAAGTGATTGTCGTCGCCTTTTGTGTCGCCATTGGATATCTACAAGAAATGTGGGGTTACAGATTCGTTGCCGACCTGTAGAAGAGCAATACGAAAGTACAAATACGTCCACTATACATCGTCTACTAGTCATATGGCAATGTGAGAAGGTGCCAAATGAGCAGTTGGTTCACCTGTTATTAATATGGACGTCTATGAACGTCTTTCTCATCTTCGAGAAAACACGTAAGTAACCTTGTTAAATGAATAAATAATTAATAATATATATATTCGAATTAATATTCGCGTAAAAACAAGAAATCAATACTTAAGTAACCTGTAAAAAAATGTACCCCGGTTATTACACACCATAAGAAATTTCAAAGTGTAATATGTTCATTTCAAGCCTTCTGTCAGGCCGTCGTACTTTCCCGCACCAGTAGGCCTGTTCGTACAACAGCGATGACTCTTCTACCATAAATTGCGTAAAACAAGAACGTAAATAAAACATACGTTGCACCTATTATCACACCAGCGTTTGTTTTCCTTACATCGGAAACTAAAGATCGCATATTCTGATTACGACCAATTATTATGAATCATAAGATAACCGTCAAATATAAATCAATATGTTGATAAATGATTTAAATACATTTTCATCTTGTTTTTTAAAAACAGTACTCAATTATAATGATGAACGGCGAGCTCGATGGAACGCCAGAGTCTACGAACTGCCAGCTTTAAGACATTGGAACCTTCGAAACCAAATACCTTGTCACTATTTCAAACAGAACTAGAACACACTTGGTCAATAAGATAGTGTCTCTCTTATCATCACTATTTACGTCTGCGTCGCATTTTTGAACAAATTTTTACACACTTAACTCATATTCTACTTTTACGACACGGCACACATGGAATATTCGATGCCGTCAACAGTATGACATGATTAACCTCAATTTCAAAGTCAACACAAAACACGAGTTTTACTGCCCACGTACGAACACTATTGCGAATATTTCACATTTCATAAAACTATTTCGATAACTGAGCCATTTATCAACATTTCGCTGATTAGATACCGGCTCCTCAAGGATTGTAAATCACTAACAAAGTGCTCAAGAAATAACCGTAGCGGTGTTCTTGAACAGGGCGCATTTATAAGGGAAAATATGCTAAAAATTCATAATAATTAGGGAAAATGTGAAGAAAATACAGTCATGATAATTAAGGAAAAGGTGATCAAAACATATAAAAATTAAGGAAACTGCGATTAACGCAGAAAATAATAAGGACAACGATGATATTCAATTGCATTTAACATCTGCTTTGTTTTCTTTGGTGCCAAAATTTTCTAAAGCATTCAACAATTTTACCTATATTATCGGACGCAACTTGTCTATTTTCCTACATAAATATATATAGCATATAGAATAAATAAGGAAAAAACATTACTATTTTACTGATATTTTTTATTTTATTCCAAGTAAGTGAGATAATCGTTAGCTATCAACTAACGATTATCTCACTTACTTGGATCAAATGAAAAGTATAAATGCTTGGATTCCACACCAGGTTTACAGTAAAATCGTCACATTACCAGGTTAAGCTCTCCCATTCTAGCCACCAGCGATGTAAGTATTTAGAATGACAGACGCAACAGCCTGTAATTAATATATAATTATATATAATAAACATTACAGTACAGGATGACGTTATGGTGTCGGTGGTCACCATACTTCAAATAAACCAACTGTTACTACACGCCATCTCAGGTGCGAATCCAAAACGGGACAAAAATTTGTGTACTAGGAGCACATTAACTGTTACACCCAGTAATTGTGTACTTTGCTTCCATGATTTTTAGACTCCGAGAATAAAGATAGGGGTGTTATAAGTCTGCCTGGACTTCTATTCACTAGGTAGAGTAACGACCTGTGCAAATATGTGGGGAACTCGATGGATGCAGGTGGCTCAGGATCGTGCTTCGTGACAGATCGTGTAGGGGAGGCCTATGATCAGCAGTAGACTCTCTAATCTCTAAGGAATGCTCAATTCCTTAGAAACTTTCAGCAGATATAGTTTGCTTGCGGACATGGCTCCGGCGGTGTTTTCTTACTTTCGGGGTTTTTGTGCCGAGGGTTACTTAAAAGGTTTAATGTTATATTATTCATGTATGTAAAATATATCGAGACACAGGACTACATCGCGATTGCGGGAGATCTTTCCGAAATACTCGTAGTTCTCTTGCAAGGTAAAGTCATCTGTACATAGAGTTAGTCACACAACAGGCCTCCACGTTGCCCCAAAGGAGAAGAAAAGAAGTAAAAATCAAAAGACTTGTGTTAATGAAAGTGAAATAGATAAAGATTCAGATGAATTAACATTTGTAATTCATCGACTTACTTGTTATAGCAGGATATCTTGGATATTCATTTTTATCCAAACCATATTATATAAAAAAAAATTATCAAGCGAAATGTTTAAGTCTGACTAAAAACTCACTGACACAAATACTCGAAAGTCGTTTAAAAATAGTGTTGAATTTAAATCTTTGTGAGAGCATCCCGCTTGACTCGTTAATACTAACAGTTGACAAATCCAATGTCGTCTTACCTGCATGTGTCTTGACGATAGACAGTACTCTGCCCGATCGAGCTGCTGTATGTGGGAATACGATGCAAACTACTTGAAGGGTGTATCTGTGGGGGTCTTAGGAAACTAGTTCCGTATCCGGTTCCTAGCATTGGAGACTCTACCATAGAGCTGTCGAAGGCGCTTGTTTCATCCGTCTCCTCGTCTATGACACCCGGCTTGTAGAATATTTTGCCAGCCGCCAGTTTCCCTTTACCATCTGCCCCATCTTCAGTTCGAACTTGCATCTCTAACGCTTGCTCCGCGGCCATTTTATTTTTCTCCTAATCGTCACGATATCGCACTAGCTTTTGTTTTGATTGACTTCATTTCGCGAACACTCGTATAGTTGATATGAGAGTATAATTCCATGATTCGAGCTTTTGAAGCAGTTTCGCGTGTTAGGTATAACTCCATGGAAGGGTACCTGAAAGCAATAGTCAAGTTGAATTCCGTGGTAACAAGACAAAAAATCGAAAGCACTATCTAATCTTTATTTCACAATTTCGTCTGGCCGGTCACACAGAGTGTACTTTTTTTTTAATGCATTTTGAATTATAAGATGATATTGGCGACGTATCAAGAAGGCTGATGTATTACTCATCGTTAAAGCGTCGGTCACGCATAGACGTGAAAGGGACGGTGTGATGGATCTGGGCGGGTTGGATTTGTGTTTCGAAATTCGTATTCTCTGCCTACTCTTCGAGGTAAATTGAGTTAACGTTATCTTTATTTTTTATTTAAGCGTTAAGTACTTTTTATCTCATTTTTATTTCCACCGATTCATCTATTCAACGGTAGATGGCTCTGTAAATGAGCCATCTACCGTCGAAGAGAATTTTTTTATAAAAACAAAACGTAAGTAGTTACAATAGTTCCTATTCTGTTTAGAAAAATGCCTCAAAATCTGATGAATTCTGATTCTAAGTATTATGTTTACGAATAATATATTCGAATGTAAATATATTTATTTAAGGTACACATAGATATCCGAAAATATATCAATGTAACAAGAAGGCTAAGAAAATGTTAAAAAGCTAAGACCGTATTTTATATTTCAATTCTTCTCTCGCGTGAGTAACAACTTAAACCATAAATACATGATGTTAACTTTTGCGAAATCATTTTCCTTTATGGAACTCAATAAAACATAAACAACGCCATCTAAGGGAGATTAAAGCAATATGTATTCGTCTCAATTCAATATGACAGTGAGCGTTCCCACCGAGCGTAGTTTAAAAGCGATTTTTCTTGAAAATTGCCGTGATCGAGCATTGTTCCGGTGTACTGATATGACGCGTCCTTGCACTCATTAGGATGTGCTCGATCTTTACACATAACGACCAGCAACGGAAGTCTTTATTTCCTCCCACTGGAATTATTCTGACATATTGCGGAAACCTCGCGACTCTGACTTACCCGCGCTTGTGTGAAGGAAGCCGCCAAGTTTCTGAACATTACGGCCCATTATCGTCACATTGCTTTGTCACTTACATCGTACATCTCGAATTAAGGCAGAGAAGTGGTAGCAAAATTACTTGAAAATTTCTACATTTCTAAATGATATTTTTCGTGGAAATCGTTATTATTATAAAAGATAAGTCCTATACAAAGTTTGCCTTCTTCAATTAGTAAACGATTAAATATCGTTCTTATTACAAAAGATTATGTTCAAAAATGGATCAATTATTTTTATTATTACATATAAACTATAAATATATTTTCAAAGATATTTTGTTCAGATAATTAGATACGTAAAATAGAATGCTCGATTGAAACCCTCTTAAAAGTTCACTCTTCTCAAGCACTAAATAGGTTGCAAATTCAAGTGCTAATTAAATAAATAAATAATCAAAAACATCAAAAGCAGTAGATCAAATGCAATATTACATTACATGACAAATATCTCGTACTTGTTAATATATAATGCGAGCAGACAGTTTCATATTGTCACCTGGCTGCTGTTTAATCTATAATTAAGTGTCTAGGATGACGTATGTCTGTCACGAGAACACACGTACGCACGCCTTTCAAACGTATCCACCTTCTAGACCCATTAGCGAAGGCCAATTCTTAATTACCGTGTCTCTCCGGCGATTAATAATTGCGCTATGGTCATTGCACGCTCCTAAATACATTAATTAGACATGCATATGTGCATTATAATAAATAATTTATCCTATTTCTAATCCTTTATAATAATTCTTTCTATTTCTATAAGATTCAAGCTATGCGTAGATGCTTTGATAGCTCTGTTCGATATAATGTAAAGCAAAAATAAATGTTTTTCCTACTGATCACGGTTCTTACCATGCTTAAAATTTAAATATGAATATTACACGAATTACGAAATTCAGCTAGTTTTTAGTCAAAAGCTTTAGCCAGCAAAAACTGAATAATTATTGAAACAAGATTAACATTTAAAGTAAATATATTAATACTAAGTATATGCAACAAATAAAAAATCTTTGTCTTCTGCTTTATGAGTTCTTGAAAATAATAATTTACGATTCCTTGATAAAGGAACCCGATATATATATATTATTTATTTCATGTTTGCAATATATAATTTACTTTATGCAAGTTATTGACAATTTTTTATAGAAATAAATTTTAAAAGAAACTGTAATTTTGGGGAGTTGGAAAAGAAATCCTACCAACCAACTTTTTGAATTTCATATAATAAATTATTTTAGTATTATTCACATCGCTTCTGCCAGTACTTTACATTCTTACTTCTCTTATCTTTCGTTTCAAATGTCAATCAATTTTATCAAAATATATCGACAATTAATGAAATGCTTACATTTTACATTTATTATACATATCATATATAAGTAAATTTAAGCTTCATGGGTGCTTTTCGGAAAAATGTTTAAGCAAATTTATTTTATTCCACTAAGGACGACAGAACGTACATGTAGGTCGCTGTCGACTCCTCTATCAATTCATTATGAAATTAACTTGATTTACATCTGCGATTTCATTGAATCTCTTCAAAAATCGGAGCAATCATTACTGGGATTAGCCCGGACTTCAAAAGCATAGCTGGTCGTAAAGATAAGGTAAGAAATAGGGTTTTTTCTTACATTTCCGGTATGTCGAGTCGACAATGATATTAAGAATGATTTTATTTCAATATCACAAACAAAAGATTACTTATACGAGTATGTAAGATTTTTATAACAATAAGTACAACAATCAAAACGCGATTGCAGTATTATAATGCGAGGGAATATTAAATTACACATGATATTGTTCCGATGGTGCTTAAGTTCTCATATCTCAAATAAATCGATACATGAGCAAATAAATTTATTAGTAGATCAAATTACTAATGATATCCCTACTAATATTATAAATGTGAATGTAAGTTTGTTTGTGACGCTCTCACGCCAAAACTACTCAACCGCTTATCATGAAACTTTGTACACATATTCTTAGAGTTAATAGGAAGGACATAGAATTCTTTTCATAAAAAAAAGTTTTTTGAAAAGATATTTTATTTAAGGGCTTCAATGCGAGCGAAGCCGTGGGTAAAAATTAGCATTTAATATTTACGTTTTTAACTATCACGTTGGGTATACTGATGGACTCCAGTTTCTCTTGGACACCTCAAATTAATGCAGTCGCCCGTAAAATGTTTGCAGCATGTAGTTCGCTCAGACGACTGAACTACTTTTTACCCATTTCCACCAAAATTACGCTCGCTCATTCTTTGCTGCTCCCAATTCTTGATTATGCTGACATATGCTATCTCGACATCACTGAGGAGCAGCTTAATAAACTTGAGCGACTCCAAAACCTATGTATACGGTTCATATTTGGGCTTCGTAAATACGACCATGTATCAGAATATCCCATTAAGCTCAAGTGGCTCCCGATTCGTTTTCGCCGAAATACTCACATTCTTTCTGCTCTTTACTGCGTCCTATTTAACGTATCAAGTCCGCAATATTTGAAGGAACGTTTTCAATTTCTTTGCTCCTCTCATAATCTTCCTTTACGTTCAAATGAAAACCTTTTCCTTAAACATCCTATGCAGTCCTCTAGTTTTTACCATAAATCCTTCTCTGCTGTTGCTGTTAAACTCTGGAACTCTTTACCTCTGGCTATAAAACGTGCTCAAACCCTAGACTCTTTTAAAAAACAGGTTAAGGAGCATTATCTGTCTGTCTAGCTCCTCTCTATCTTTCATCATCTTTCATTTCGTCTCTCTCTACCCCTTTTAATTTCACCCTTAACTCTATGATCACTCACTTGAAGTATGTTTTTCTTATTATTTTAATTGATACTTTCTTTTTACTATTATTACTTTTTTTTCCTTCATGTACATCCTACCCATCAACATTTCCTTTTGGTAAATTTTTGAGGTTGCCTGGAAGAAATTGCTGTGTAGCAATAAGGCCGCCTTTTGATGACCAATATTTTGTTAAATATTTTGTTTTTTGTACTTTTTCATTTTGATTTTTTTGGTGTACAATAAAGTATATTATTATGGGGGGGATATTCATTTGTTTTCTCGTCTGGTTGGGTTTATAAATAAAAATAAAAATATAGATACATATTGCATATATAAAATAAATATTATGGATAAAAATAAACATATACATATAAATGTTGTATATAATACATATATAAATAGGACCCAACCAGACGGAAACCCTCGGCAGGGGAGACCAAACGGCCGAGGGTTAGGGCGATAGGGAGAGAAACCGGCGGACGATGCGGGCGGTATCGAGGAGCACCGCCTTCTGCATTTGAGCTTGGAGCGATCCGTCCCGGAGTCCCAGTCGCCTCAGATGTTTGGAGAGGCTGACTGGGATTAACCCATTCGCAGACACGACTATCGGGATAATTTCGGTCGGCACACCACCCCAGATGTGGGTCACCTCGTGAGCCAGGTCCAGATACTTTGTCTTCTTATCTGTTTCGGCTTTCACGAGGTTCTCGTCATATGGAATGGTAATGTCGACCAAAAATACCCGCGACTGTGCCCGGTCCATCAAAACGATGTCAGGTTTGTTCGCGACAATCGTCCTGTCCGTGATGATGGGCCGGTCCCAATAGAGCCTGGCGCGGTCATTTTCGAGCACGGCCTCCGGAGAGTACTTATAGTACGGCAGTTTCCGATCCACAAGGCCGTATTTCAGAGCGAGCTCCTGGTGTAGGATTCTGGCTACTAGGTTGTGTCTATGCAGGTACTCAGAGTTAGAAAGCATGGAACAACCGGAAATAACATGCCGAAGCGACTCCCCGGGATGGCGACAAG